ATAAGATATAGAAGTCCAGATCATACTTCAGACCTACCGAAATAACCTGCCAGGTACATTTCAAAAGTTCATGAAAGCCGGCAGGTGGCACAGAGCTTACGGTGCTGGACTCCCACGTGGGTGACGACAGTTCAAGTCCCAGACCTGGCGGCTTGAAACTCACCAAGCACATTCATGCCCAAAATCCTGAGAAGAGAAGGGATTATGGTGTGACCATCCCCCTGGGGGGGTGGTTTCTCACTTTCTCTGTCTCTGTCTCTCACTCTCTCTTGAGTGAGAAAACATGCCCTATAGCAAAAATCTCCCTTTTTAAAAAATAATGTTGCCATCTTACACTTCTGAAGCGCTTTACGTGTTTACAAAGGACATTTGTCATTTCTTTCCTCATTTGACGTTGTCCTGGCTTAGTCAAGAGCACCTGCTCAGTTAGAAATGTGTTCCATGAATATACAGTTTTAAATGAGTCCCAACACATGCCACCTTTGGCCCATATGTAAGATGGGGTCCCCAAGATGCAGACCAAGTTGATGAACCTGGTACCCAGCAGGATGCACTATCCACTGGGCACTTAATTTCTGATGAAGAGGGTCACAACTGGGAAAAACTGTACATTTTACGTGCTACTCTTCTTTTTAGAGTTTATTCCCTTGAATTTTATAAGCACACATCTTTTAAAACAAATAATGATGAACTCTGGGATTTGATGTAGAATGGCATGCTTGTAACTGCAAAAGCAGTAGTTGTCAACTACCCTATAGCAGAGAAGGCAAACTCAACCAGGAGGGGAGGCAGACACGTTTTCCTGCACCCTTACAGGCATATGAAATTGTTCAGATCTTGAGATACCAGGAATGGTACAAACCTGGGGTTTTAACCAGAAATATCTGTCATCAATGAATAAATCCTATTTTTAGCATACTTTGTGCATTTTTCTGAATGATACATTGTAGCTTCTGATGAAGAGAAACAGTGGAAAAACAATCTGCACACATACAAAAATTAAATTGAAGATAGAAAAATTCTGCATTTCTAAGAAATTTTATGTTC